GCTCGCTGGGGTTTTCCGTTGCGGCACCTTGACACGACGTTCGTTAAGCATCGATGGGGGAAAAAGGAGCGAAGTGCAACGGTTCCCGGGGAGGGGATTGCTCTGATGCTTTTGCCTGCCCTGGACCGTTGCTGCGACAGTCTGGAGCTGTGTGCGTTACCCTGTGGCTGTCTGTGATAGCTCAAACCCACCTTGCAAGGACAGAGCAGGTAGAGCTGGACCTGGCAGTTCCGTGGTGTTAGGCTGAAGTAGCCGTGGGCTTTGTGCCTGGCACAAATACGCAGGCAGGAGAGGTTGCATTCTGTGCTCTGCTCCAGCGCTCAGCAAATAAGGCAGGGAATTTACTCTCCATTTGCAGACTCTGAAAGTGATGCCTGTGGGCTAAGGAAGCAATCCTGTGCATTTCTGTGCATGCTTTTCACTAATAATGTCTTTTACTATTGGGTGAAAACCCAAATGGGTTTTTGCCTCCCCATTTCGGCTCAGCTCCTGGCCCTGCTGGCGGAAACATTTCACTTTCTGTTGAAATGTCTCTTGCTGCAGTTGCACTTCAATACTGATGCAGTCTGCGTGCGGGATGAGGGTCACGCACATTCGGTTTGAATGGAGTCCAGGTAGGTGCCCAATTCCAGTTAGTTTTCACTGTAAGGTCTCTAAGCTACCCAGAGCTGCTTGTTGAACACTGGACTTCTTTTCTGCTGGGTAGTCTACTTTTTCCAGAGTTTTTTGTTTGCAGTGTCCTTTCTGCTGCTTAGAGGACAGCCTAATGTGATGCTCTCTGCACTAGCCATCTCCCTGAATGAGACCTCTGAGTTCTGCACCACTGGAAGGGTTGAGAACTCAGCTGTGAAGCTCTCTGCTCTCCTTTTTTTTTTTTTTTTACAGGACAGGTAATTGTGAAAGAAGCCAGTGGGAAGGTGTTCCTGCAATGTGCAACAGACAGAAAAAGTGCAATCACATGGCTGAAAGACGGGAATAGCGTAGGAAACACAACGCAGCTGGACTTGGGTGCAGTTTACGACGATCCCAGAGGCGTGTATACATGTAAAACAGAAAGCGGAACGGAAGGCCGCCGTCTGCAGGTGTACTATCGAAGTAAGCGTTGCCAACCTGGTTTCTAGAGCCAGAACTGCTTGGACCTTTCACCCAAGCAAACTACTAATTTCCCAGCGTTTGAGGATGGTTCTACCGGTTTGCGGAACTACCGACAGCTCCTGTGCTGGGTTGCTCTTGGGAACAGCCAAGCTGCACGTTCCCCTGCATCTGGTGTCCCCGTGAGAGCCGTGCAGCCTCGCTTAGTGCCGTAACCTGGCACTCGTACCGCTTCATGGCTAGCCGCTCGCTGGCCCTGCTGCGGCCTGCCCGGAGTGCTGGCGACACGGGGCAGCTTGCGCCGCTGCCTTGGCTCAGAAGCGAGCCAAAATTAATCCCTGGTCTCCCTCACCCTGGGACTGGAGCCTGCCTGGGCTGGCAGAGCTGGCCGCGCACTTTGGGCTCGGACCGGCCGGGGTGGCAGGGAGGAGGGGGCCCAGGGGA